ATGACCTGGCTTCCCACACTTGAAGCAGATAAATGGGTTGCTAGAGTCATTCTTAGCAGGTGGTTTAGCATATTGGACCTTTTTAGGGTTCCAATTCTTGTTGCGACCGATGTTCTTAGCCTTATTCCCATTGCGGTTCTAATTCTTGAAGTTACTTCCCGAGGCTTCAAAACAGCACCTGAGAATTTCTTTCTAGGGCTATTGCTTGATAAAGCCAACACTTCTTCATTATGATCTTGCTTACGAGCCTCTTCCTCAATGCGAAGACGAGTGATCAGAGATTCCAAAGAAAATTCTTTGGTCTTGTGTCTTAGGACATTTTTAAAGTCCTTCCAGCTAGGTGGCAGTTTGTCAATAATGACAGCTACCTGAAATTGCTCATCTAAGGGCATACCCTCAGTGATGATCTCATGAGTAATTTTATGAATCTCGTGAGACTGAGATTCTACTAATTTATCATCAGTCATCTGATACTTGAGGTAGCGGCTAACAACATATTTCTTAGTCCTAGCTACCTTAGTATCATATTTCTTTTTGAGTGCTTTCCAAACTAATTTGAAAGTTTTATATGAGATATAGTAATCATATAGATCATCTGATAACCCACCAAGAATGAAATGCTTACATAAGTAGTCATTTTCATTCCATAGAGCTATATCAATAGCTAGCTTTTCCCTTTCCTCTTTCTCAGCTTCTTCAGGTACCACTGGGACATCATCCTTCAAAACATGGGCAACCTTTTTAACCGTTAGGAAAAATTCCATCTTGGTTTGCCAGCATTTGAAGTTAGTCCCGTCAAACCTAAATGGTTTGCTTAGGTCGAAGCTGTTCGAACCAGTAATATTATGTACGAGTGTCATTGCAGTAGAAACGTCTTAGAATTGTTGTATCGGTTGCCCGCAACAATGACACGAGATAATATTTACTGGCCGAGTCACGACCAGGTCGCTCTCTTTAAGACGTTTTGTGGTACTGCCTCAAGGTGCAAGTAGACTATCAACCACGCCGTCCCTAGGATAAAACAGCTCAGCTCTATGTTATACGATATTTTACTACACTGTAAAAATCGCTCTCGAATATACCCAAAAAATATAGCTTCCAGTGCAAATTCCGAAATACCCACAATATTGGATTTCTGTTCCAACTCTAGTGCCACGGAAAGAAAGGGAGAGAAAGTAGGTCGGAAATGCGTCGGCAGAATTTATGGAGGGAGAAAGAGAAGAGCAAGCATAATCGTATTTGCTCTTGGTGCAAAAAATAATGAAGGGGGATGCCTCTATTTATAGCCAGAGGCCTCCAACGGATCCTTCATCCGACGGCATCAATCAAGGCCCATCTGACTCCATCTACGGCACAGAGAAACCAGGCGCAGATTAACCTCCACCACTACCGGGTCATGCAATCATGTGGAGTTGCTTCATGCGTCTCGAGGATTCTAGATCCTTCCTGCACGGACTCGGCCAAGACCTAATGGGCATCTAAATAAAAATAAAATAAATAAATAAAATAAATATTTATTTTTCAACAAAAAGAATGTTGGGCCCAAACCCGACCCGACTCGACGGCGGCGGAGGTGGTGGTGATGCGCGCGTGCGTGTGGAGGGCTTTTATTTGTGTGAGTCCTCACACACTTACAAAACCCATTGTACCCCTTGGGGCACACCCCAATGTAGGATTTTAAGACTTATAAAGTATTTCACATTCCCTCCTCCAACCAATGTGGGACTTGGAGAGTTTTTTGAAATTCACACTCCAAGCTCCCTCTTTAATGGCCACTTTAATGTGCTTTATTGCATCTTGAAAACCAACAAATCTCTTCAGAAAGTAATTCACCTTCTTCCACCATGGCAACACTAATGATATGTTGGACACAACTAGGTGTTGGAATCTTAATTTCTCATCATATTACAATAATCTTTTCTTTTGATTGATAACATTTTTTTATAATTTTATGGACATATTTTACTATTCTAATAAATATATTCAATTGGGTAGTTACTTAAGTCTGACAATAGAAAGTTGGATTTGAGTATGATCTGGAATCAATGGACAAACAAGTGAAAAACCAAGTGAAGATAGCTCAATGAATGAATAACAAAAGAATCAAGTTTAAAATCATCTCTAAGTTACTAAGGGTCTGTTTGCGAGTTGAGTTTTGGATAAGGAAAAAGGAAAATAAAAGACTTAGGATCTATAAAATACACTTTGAGATGACTCTGAAGCCTTCCACTTATATTCATTCCCCTCCAAAATTCGAATCGCAAACAAACCTTAAGGATTCGTTTGTGGATTGTATTTTGGAAGGGAATAGAAGAAAATGACAGACTTCAAAGTTATATGACAGGTGTATTTCATGGCACCCAAACTTTATTTTTTTCCATTCCCCTCTAAAATTCAACTCACAAACAGACCTAATAATATATCGTTTAGTCCAAATGTCCAACACACCTAAATGAATATCGAAATGTCTTTAATAAAGGAATTGAACATGGGACCTTTCCCTCTTGATGCAAACTCACTATGCCAGAAAATGTCTTTAACAACGGCTCTTCAACAGCGCTTCCTAGAACTATGCTGTTAAATACGAGGCGGAGGAACATAGACATCGCCTAGTTAAGCGAGCGCTGTTAATATTGATAAGAAGATATAAAATCAACAGTGCATCTGTGAATGAACATTGTTGAATAAACTCTAACTTGAATTAGTTCTCTTTAATAGCGCTCATTTTTTGATGCCCTATTAATTAGAATCTATTCAACAAAGCCTTTTGTTGTGGACGTTGTTGATGGAATATCTTCTACAATGCTTTCTTTAATAAGCGTTGTTGATTTGATATCATATACAACACTTTCTTAAATGTGCGTTGTTGATCGGATAAGAATTTAAAAATTTACAATTTCTAAATAACATTCTCTCATATATTAAAGTGTCTTCGTTCCCCAGAATTCTTTTGTTTCGTGATGGCGGTATCACTTCCCCATATTTGGATAGAATGAAGTTTTCTACCACAAATGCATATATAATATGTATAGTTCTGACTAGTGGTTCAAAAGTTATGTCAAAAAATAATGATATAACACCTTTACAAGTTCTTATTTACGCAAGCGCTAATCAGAATTTGAATAATAGTGATAATCAGAATTTGAATAATAGTAAAAAATAGTGATATATCACATTTCTGTTAAAGATATCATATCAATATGTATTGAATAATGTTATGATAAAATGTTATTTTTGAAATAACTTTTAAAACACTAATTAGAATTTGACATATTATATATGGAGTGGAGATCCACTTACTCCAAGAGTAAGTTTTTTAAACTTACTCCACATCTTAGCCATCAATTCTAAGGAAATTCAATGGTCTAGATCTACCTATTAATTCAAACTATTGGATTTTTCTAGAATTGATGGCTAAAATGTGGAGTAAGTTTAAATCAATTACTAAGATTTATTAATACTTATTTGATCTTTCAAAGATTACGGTGCCACCAACATGGTCCTTCATAAAATATAGTATAATACTTATGCAACTTCAATGTAAAGATTTATATATAGTCAATATATTATTCAATATTTATTTATATTATTTTTTGAAAAGTCATCTTTTCAAATATAAATTGTAGATAATATAATGATAGTATAAAAATTCTCACATTATCACTAAATCGTCTTTTCACTGCAATACTTCCTCTTAAAAAAATTCAAACAAGTTAATCATTCAAATATTATTATTGTCACCAATTTAATCATTTGAAGAAATTTGTCTTTTATGTTAATGAATATGTTTATCATTAATTTGGTGATTAAGTTTATCAATTTACTATTCAATCAAATATTATATTTCTCACTTAACTATTCTAGACATCATACTAAGATAAAAGTTAAATATTTGATTCCTCTTAGTAACAATTATTGGAATAGTCAATCTGGAATCACTTAAACTCGATAAGTTAATATAAATTAAGGATATTTCTTGATTATGCAAAAAAAAAATCTCATATACTATCTTCTTAATACTAGAGATGATGACAAATTGTATGCATGTAATTACTTTATGATAATTGGATGATATTTACTTGGTGCTAAAGATGAGATAAATCTCATCTTTAGCACTCATCTTTAGCAATTATCAATAATCTATATTATAAATATAGTGCAAAGTTAATGAATGAAATAAATTACATTGATTTAATTTAATTATATAGATCATTTTTCATGTTTAAAACATTATATTCACTTTTCCTAAGATTAGGTTAGTATAATTATACAATATAGAGTAATTTTCAACATTCATTTTTAATCTCAATAGTATATCAAAACTTAATAGTTAATACATCCATTTTGGGGGAAATGAGAAACAACAAATACAAAAAATGGTATATGTTCGTTAGACTAATGGCAAGAATAACCAACTTGGTGACATATTTAATCTATGACCCACTAATATGATGAGAAGTTGATGTTTGATTTACAATTTGAGTTTTGAAGTAAAAATAAAGAAAGAAAAGACTTTAGAGTTTTCTCACCGATACATTTCATAACTTTAATGTTCTACATCATAATATTAAAGAATCAAATAATTATTATCCTTTATTTTTCTTAAGGATTTTAATAATTCTAACGTAACATGTGCATATCCAAATTTATCAATATATTAACAGATGTTGACATACCATTCGGTCGAACACGTGCATTTATTAATAAGACAACCACCCCATGGTGTTATCGTAATTCTATCTATCAAACAAGGTCAATTTCAAACAACATCATTTCTTCAATTAAATTTCTCCGTTCAATTCATTTTCTTCACCTTTCTCTTATTTTCCAAAACAAACAGACACAAAAAAGAATCAATAACTTTTCAATAACAATGGAAGATAATCACTCACCTCAAGAATTGAAAGGTTCCTCCACCGTTAACGGCGGCGCTGACCATGGCTGGCAGAAAGTAACCTACGCAAAACGACAGAATAAGAAAAGTCAAATGACACCAAAACCGTCGCGAATTCCGACAAGCTTCTTCCCAACGGCACGTTATCTGGCGGCGACGGCGTTTTCCACTCGCTGGAGCTGCACTCGGAGGAACGGCGCCGGCGAATCGCTGAGGCGCGGAGGGCGGCTGATTCTGAATTCGACGATGATGCTCTGGTCAGATCGAAGCAGCATCGTCGCGATGAATATGATGATGATGATGATGATGATGATGATGAGGTGATCATTCTGCGGAGAATGGAAAAGCGGAGGAGGAGAAGAAGGTGAAAGTTAAGAAGCCGAAGAAACCTAAGGTTACGGTTGCAGAAGCTGCGGCAAAGATTGACAGTGCTGATCTGGAGCGGAGCGTTTTTAGTTGATATATCGGTATGGCGTTGGATTAGGTTAATTTGATTGTTTTCAATTGACTTCAGTTTTAGATTTTGGTTGCTGTGGTGATTGCAGTTGTGGTAACTATGGTCATTGCAGCTGTTGCAACATGGACTATAGTCATTGCAGTATGAATTTTGTTGTGATTAAAAAAATATTTTTGAATCAGATGTGGACCAAACATGGTCGATGCGCTTGCGTTGTGGTTGATGTGACCCATCATTGTGATTTGGTGCCATATGATGGGATGCTATAACTGCAGTTTGCGGCTGCAATACCTGATGCGGTCCACAGTATTGCTGCCACAATACCTGATGCTTTCCGCGATTTGAAACAATGATTGAATCTTATATGTTTATGTTTTGTGTTTGGGACTTTGGGTTTGATCTGTTGTTGCATGAAGAATGTAATGTAACGTATTTGGTTTGATTTGATTTTGATTTTGTTGGCCTCATTGTAGGGATCGTATGAGATGCAGCAGGATATACAGATGATGCGGTTTGCAGATTATTTTGGACGAGCTTTTTCTGCTGTGAGCAGTTCTCAGTTTACATGGGTGAAGTTGTTCAGAGAATCAACTGTGGCTAAGATTGCTGATGTGAGTTTGATATTCTTTTTTCCATGGGCATGTTTATGGATATTATTATTGAGATGAGAATTCATCGTTTGCAATGAAAACCTCTGATATGAATCATGAATGATGCTTGCATGGTTTTAAATGGCAAGTCTGGTTATGTAACAGTTATTGCTTGTAACGGTTTGAGTGGATAAGTCGGAGATACAATGGAGATCATTTGTGGATTACGGTTTTTCTGTCAAATGACAAATGTGTGCTTGGATATTTAGGGAATGTTACATGCAATGTTGCTAATGTGTATACATACAATGTGAACATATTTGTTTCAATCATCCATAGCACCCGGGTGATAGAACATTATGGCGTTGTTGGATCCATGTGGCTGACCTCACCTAGTGTAATTAAGGTTTGGTTGTTGTATCTATAGCATCTGGATTTCCTGGATTGGTGACAACATGTTGGGGTGGTTATTTAAATATTGCTGAAAATATGCAAAAGGTGTTTATTAGCTTCCATCAATTGTCATTAAATGTCTTAGTGTGCAATGGACTAAAAGATACTTAAGATGGTTTGTGAAGAACTATACTGCTGAACAAAATATAGCTGGAACAATTAAATATGATGTTAAAAGAGGCTGTTTTCTGTTCACAGTAAATATATAGAAATTCCTGTGACAAAATGATACAGTGAAACAAACTTGACTCAGCTGTGAGCATGTGCCAAAATAATATGTTTGGAGCATTTAGTTAAGTGGTCATGTGGAAGCATAAATGGTGTAAAAGGAAGCAGTATAATCTATTTAACAATTGTATGTGACCCTTTCAGCAAATTTCAATAGCAGAAATCCTTATTCCTCAAAAAGAGGAAACAAGTTATAGCTTGAAATGGATTGATTAGTAGAAACCGTATACTAGACTCTAATTTAAGTTTTTTAATTAAATGTTTTAACACCTACCCATGGGTAAGTACTGAATTTATTATTCTTATTTGTTTTTATCTATACTGTTTAGCGAACATCGATCGATGCTGACATTCTAGCTTACTTTGTTCATCAGAATCGCGGTACCAGTTTCTGATTTTATCCTGTAAAGCTTATTAATGAATATTTCCTTTTGCCAGGTACCACTTTCTCACTTATCTGATGCTGTATATAAGACATCAACAGACTGGATTAACCAACGATCTCCTGAGGCACTTAGTTCTTTTGTGCTTTGGTGTTTAGACAGCATTCTTGCTGATTTAGGTAGCCAGCTAACTGTGGCCAAGGGTTCCAAAAGGCTGTGCAACATGTGGCTTCAAAATCTCAGGTGACTTCTACTGAATAGTATTCTTTTGACATGCAACAATGATCTTTTTTATTTTTATAATCTGATAACGATAGAGAAAGAAGGAGGATTTGGGATCCTCTAAAGAAAAGACTAAATCAGAAAGCTAAACTGAACTAGAATTATCAATACTAAATGGCTCACTTTTCACTCTTCGTATCTATCAAGGGGACACTCCTGAAGATATCACTTCTTAAATATGAAGATTAATTGAAGACATCACTAGGTCAAATAGAAAGATCAGTTTTTAATTAGCTTTCTTTTTCTATGAGGGGGGCATTCAGTGACTTAGGAGGTCAAATATCCATGATGTTTGGTTGCCATTGCCATTTTTGGTATTCCAGATTTGGCAAAATGGGATAGCTTGTGTTTCTTTCATTATTCATCTTATATGGTATTTTTCCTGGTAGTAAATCGTGCGATAGCGGAGGAGCGGTGAAGCTCGTCCCTTCCACGTTATTAAATGGTGGACTGTGGCACGGATGGCCATCACGCTTGTCATTGGTCAAAATGCGACGCGGATGGCCATGATTTTTGCCCTGTATTTAATGTGGCAAGGAATTTCTAAGGCTTTTGGTAATTTAACTCTCCCCTTCTTTCCCTTATATGAAACATGTTGAACAACAGTGAACAAAAGGCAAAACACGTTTAACATCAGCAGAGGTGATCAGAAAAATATGAAGCAAGCTCTGCACATTCTATCGAAGCACTTTCCAGCCACTCTCCCATTCCCACTTTCACTTCTTCCCCTCACTCTGTTCTCAACCTCTCACATACCCACTTTTCAGGCGAAGCTTCTTCCCCGCAGTTTGCAGTTGCACAACCATGGCCTCATCTCAACCTCCCAATGCCACTCCCACTAGTGCCAAGCACAAGTTGTCAAAACTTAAAATGTTTAAATTACTTATATTTTTACTATTTTAGTGTATTTATGTTGTATCAGTAGCCTGCAACAATGACACGAAATAATCTTTACTGGCTGAGTCACGACCAGGTCGCTCTCTTTAAGACGTTTCGTGGTACTGCCTCAAGGTGCAAGCAGACTATCAACCACGCCGTCCCCAGGATAAAACAGCCCAGCTTTCTGTTATACGATATCTTACTGCACTGTAAGAATCGCTCTCGAATACACCCAAAAATATGGCTACCAATGCCAATTCAGAAATACCCACAATATTGGAATATCTTATTCCAACTCTAGTGCCACGGAAAGAAAGGGAGAGAAGGAGGCCGAAAATGCGTCGGCAGAAAAAATATGGAGGGAGAAAGAAAAGAGCAAGTAAATTCGTACTTGCTCTTGGTGCGAGTATTAATGAGGAGGGGATGCCTCTATTTATAGCGTGAGGCCTCCAACCGACCCTCCACCCAACGGCCCAGAAAAAATGCATCTACGGCGTGGAGGAAACTGGGGCGCGGATCCACCTCCTCAAATACCGGGTCATGCGATTCATGCGGCGACTCGAGCATGTTCTCGATCCTTCCTCCCTCACGTCCTCACGTGTGGTGACTTGGTCAATCATGACCTGGTCATCCACACGGCCCGAATACATGGCAAAGGCCCAATGGCCTTCTAAATAAAAAATAAAATAAATAAATGAAATAAATATTTATTTTTGTACAAAAAGAATGTTGGGCCCAAGCCCGACCCGAACACGAACCGAGCCGAGCCGAGCGGCGGCCGAACGGCGGAGGAGGAGGAGGAGGTGGTGGTGGTGGTGGTGCGCGCGCGCGCGTGTGTGTGTGGGGGTTTTGTTTGTGTGAGTCCTCACCCACTCACAAAACCCATTGTACCCCTTGGGGCACACCCCAATGGTGGGACTTGAGCCTTATAAGGCCTTCCACCTTCCCTTCTCCAACCAATGTGGACTTGGAGAGTTTTTTGAAATTCACACTCCAAGCTCACTCTTTAATGGCCACTTTGATGTGCTTTAATGCATCTTGAAACCAACTCTTTTCAACAATTTATGTGTACTTTAGTGTATTTGTGTATATATATGTGTAGGGTATAACATAATTTGGCGTAGTTTGTGTATATATATGTGTAGGGTATAAATTATTTATATTTTCCCTTGTAGCTGTAATGGTCATCCCGCCACCCGCAATAGTATTTTTAGGGTCGGCCAGTTGACTACCTTGGTATTTTTATCTTGAAGTTGAAAGCATATCAAAATGAGTAAAAACACTTTTATTTGAATCTCCAATAGGTTGAATTTTATTTATCCATTTACTTTGTATAGAGTAGTTTGTTTGTCTTCTGATTTCACCATCTTGGTTCACTAAGTTTTTATTTATAAATTTTACTTAACAAATTTTTTCTGACCTCGGATTCCTAAATTACATCCATCTTTTCTCACCAATCTATCATCTGTATATTGACATTGAATCTACTGTACCTACAGGTTGCCATATTTATTGTTTTAGCAATGGTATTGCGGCGGAAGCCTGATTCTCTTATTGCTGTATTGCCTGCATTGAGGGAGAATGCTAAGTATCAAGGGCAAGATAAGCTTACAGTGATTGTATGGATGATAGCTCAGGTGAGGGATAGATGCCAAAATAATTACAAGAACTTATGAGACATTATTTTTTGAGACATTCTTTTCAAAAGGAAAACTGTACTGTTCCTTCTTCTCTTCATTTTTCTAGTGCTTAATAGTGAAGCATTCTTGTGTAGGCTTCACTAGGAGATCTCTCAGTAGGTTTGTATGCTTGGGCACGGAATCTCCTTCCTATAGTGAATAGCAAAACTGGTAACCCACAATCAAGGGATTTGGTTTTGCAGCTAGTGGAAAAGTATGTAAATTTTGATTCTCTTTTTACATCCCTTTCCCACTGATGCTATTGTCATCTCATCACTATTGTTTTTTTGTGATTTGGTTGCAGAATTTTGTCTACCCCTAAAGCACGCCCTATTTTAGTGAATGGTGCTGTAAGAAAAGG